TTTGTGTGTGTGTGTGTGTGTGTGTGTGTGTGTAAGAGTGCTGCACGTGTAGGTAAGTCGTATCGTTCACATTGTGTCACTGAAGTCCCGTGGCCTTTCGGAGCAGATCCAAGTCTTTGCGTGTTTGAGTTGTGGGTGCGGTGCAGCCGTACGAATCCAAACCCAGGGATAAATAACGTTCCTGAGAACCCAGGAAGTCGTTGCCCTGTCCGGCCTGTAGAGAAACCCATGCAGGAGGTGACAAGCCACCCAGGAATCCCCACAGTGCCAGACTCTCTGTAGTGACAGGCAGCAGTGAGACTGAGTGAGAAAGGAAACATTTTTTCCCACCAAAAGAGTGAAGGGAATTCAACACGTGACTCACCTTTACTGTTCAGACTAGGAACTTTGGCCACTCCGAAGGAAACTAAATACGGAGCTACAACAGTAAAGTCGTCGGGCTGACCTCGAGTTGCCATGAGCACGATTGACCTGTTAAAGAAAGTGGTCTGTAAATAGAGCCATGCACTGCTGCAATAACAGTAATGATATGAGAAGAATAGGAATTAGAACACGTGGCCAAAACTGTTGTCCTACTTACTGCTGAACTCAGCTCAAAATATTGTTACCAGTGCTACGCAAGTATATGCTATTGCCTTTTAAATAATTGTGAAGGAGTAGCATAATCTAATAATTTTATCTCTGGATCACATTTATTCTTTAATCATAACATTTTGTTATCGCTGTGTGGGATGATAAGGACTTCTTAGTGGTCTGGGTAGTTTGACATTTGAACAAATACATACAAATCAACATTCAGAATGAACAATAATATCATTATTATTTTATATCACCTCTTTGGTATTCCAGTTTTAAGGTATTGTTGCATCTTGGTATCCACTTTGGAAAATGAGGTTCTCTTGGTAACTTTTCCAGAGCAAGCGTCCACTGAGACCAGGAAATAGCCAGGCTGAGAGAAGAACAAGGTCACCCCATTTACCTGGTGACAGGGAGACACAAACCATGGTTCACAGACTCATTATCATTCAGCTGAAAGAACAATGCGTTTGAAGCTGTTTTTCACCGTGGCTCACCGTGATGAAGGAGTTGTTATCTCCTCTCTGCTGCTCTTTGTTGCTAAGAGACTTGATTATAGTCTGGAGGTAGATGTTCCACGGCTCGCTGGAGAACACCAGCTGAGATGGAAGACACGATAGTGAGGAGGGATGTTCGTGTGTTTTTAAACTAGTATTTAAAAAATGAATTCTTCTTAGGAGATAACACACCTGTTTGGCACCACAGTCTTCACAGGGCTGAGTGTTGGCTGCTGGCATCGGCACTGCCGCCGACGGACCCTTGGAGTATTTGGGATACGCTTTAGCCGTGCAGTTACAGGTCTGTTTGGACGATGTGGTTGCGAGGATCTTTACTCTTTCGCAGCCTTTCACCGAACAGTAGCTGTGACCGTCACGGCCGTGACGAGCTCGGAGGTAGAGCCACAACAAGCTGCATGTTACATAGAGGAAAAAAGAAGGAAAAAGGTAATGACCCTTCAAATAAAGCCTGATATAAAAAAATAAGATTCACTGGATTTTAAAGTATTTATTCTCACCCAACTGACGGCTCAAAGAAGTACTTTCTATCCATGGGCTTCATCTGCAGCTCTTGCAACGATGACACAGTGCCATAATCTGTCAGATCAATAAAGGTGTTGCTCTGCCTGTCATTGATGTCGGACATGATCTGGAAGGTGGTTTCTGATGGGTAACAGAGTCCGACCAACACCCAGTGATCTCTGAGTGACAGGAGAGAAATAGTAAAACAAAGAAACAAGATTACCTTTTTTTGTTACATGAAGAAAGACAGAAAAAACAATGACAAACTTTACACTCAAACTACTCACTTGTCAAAGTTGATGAGGGAGAGAACGACCTCTCTGGGTGCAGGTCCACTCCAGTGCAGGGTGTAACTCTTGCTCATCATCAGAATGGGCTGGTACTGCTGAGACATCGCCCCCTGGCTGTTGATCCCTCTCAGTACCAGAGGAGCGTTAGGATATTCATCTCTGCTGATGGATAAACTGAGGCTTGGAGCTCCCTGTGTCTGGATGTACACCTGCAGGAGAACACCAATGTCAGACTGAGTACTGATTCAACACTGCAGTATCACAGAGAGGACCCTAATGGAGACTGACCTGAGAGTAGTGGCCGCTGCAGATCACTCCGTTCCACTGGGACTTGTGCACACAGTCAGGATGTTGGATCAGGTAGTTGTCTGCTCTGCCCACGTAGCTGTCAGTATAGCCTGTTACTGAACCGTCCACATCATGGAAGATGGAGTTCTTGTCACCGTCCAGATCGTTTTCTTCAAACCACTGCCCTGGGCGACCGAAAAAGGTCCGAAGACCCACCTGAGAAATCAAAGGCAAGGAGTCTTCTCACTGTTGCATCACACAACCCGCAGAAAACACATGTACCAAAGTAGGACACTCCACTATTTTCTCTACCGAAAAACATATTTAGTTAAAAAAAATATATTAGCTATAATTTCAACTAACTAGAGATTAGTCCTCATGAAAAAGTTTCTTAAAAAACATGTTGGTTATTTGTCGTATACGATGGTTTTCATTGTCAATTCTGTGTGGTATTTTTGTGCTTTTCTTTGATAAAGCTGGTATGGACAGAGACGGTTGTACTGATGGTTGTGCTGCAGTGCCTACATTAAGCACAGGAGGGAGTCAGTGATCTAGAATAGTTTTACCACTGTCTCCTTTCTGTCTGATGTTTTAAATAACTGCGTGGGGTTGTTTGTGGAAATAAATGTGTCACTCACGTCACTGAATAAATGAAGATATATATAACTAAAATAAGAACAATGTTATACATTGGGTTTTACCAAAAAATCCAAATGGCAAATATTAGTCACATAATTGAAAAAGAAAAAAGGTTAAGTAAAAAATAATTCAATGCAATGTAACACAGACTTCACTACTCACTGTGGAGTGGAAACTGATGTGAGATAAGTTATTTCTTGGGGTGAGCTGCCAGGTGTTCTTTAGGTTGAAGCCCACAGCACTGGTGTAACGCTCTGGTGAAGGAATGAATCCACGGAATGTGGTCTGTGTTAGCCGAACTGGACCATCGTAGATCTGGAAACCTCTTATAGGGAACGTCCTGCAGAAATGGAAAGTACTGCAGTACTGTCCTCAAGTAATTATGCAACAATTGTAATACGATACTTGTTAATGTGGTCCTTTTTATTACAGTATAAAAAACATGTCCACAGAAACACAAAATGTTGTTCAGTTGTTTACAACTGCAACAGTATGCACAACAACAAACACACTTCATGACCCACAGACCATAATAGAAGGTCGTACAGAGAGGCGCAGTCAGAGGATTACAGAGATCTGGACAATCTCTGCAGAAGAACTATTGATGACCATGAAAAAAAAGTTTCAACATATGTATATAAATATATATATTTCAGTTTTCAGACAAAGCTGTGAATGTGTTGCCATGGAGGTGCTTGGCAACAGCCCCATCTTCAGAAAAGGAAATGTGTCAAAACATGACTTGAAAACATTTCAAACGTTTCCCAATAATTGCCCACATTGCCCATCATGATAACAATTGGTATTTCACCATCTCTAATCAGTCCTGCAGTTGAACTCGGTCGCTCTGTAACTCACACACACGCACATATGCACACACAGGTGACGCTGCATTGTCTGGAGCATTCCTGGTTGCACCTGGCGTGATCCAGCCATAAATCTGACTCCAGCAGGAAGGCATTTGAGAAGAGTTTAAGGCAAGTGTGTTTTTTTGGCACCCACGCAGAGAGTATTAAGTTGGATAATGGAGCAGTATATGTTGTCAATCTCACTGCACCAGTCAACTTCTCACATACCACTAAAACAAGGCTAACAGTCCCAAACCCACCACAGTCTCTTACAGTCCTGTGGGGAAACACTGATGTTCGATTGTGACTGAGGTCTGGTTCTAACTATCATTTCACCTTTATTGTTATTGTACATACAGTATGCACACACATTAAACCCACAATTCAATTTGACCTTCGCTTTTGGCAGCGTCCCCTGTGGAGCAAAGCAAAGCTAGCAGAGTAACATCTAGCAGCCTGTGTTTTACTGTAGTATGAAGTCATCTATAAACAAATCTATAAACTTCATTATCCATCTGTACCTGATGGAGACACATTACTGCAGCATGTGTAGGTCTATTCATACACACACTGGTTCAGAAGAGCAGGAAAAGTCATAACCAATAAAGTAACAAGATTCAATGGGCTGTGGATATTGGTGTGTGTTTTTGGGATGGACTGTCAACCCTATTACTGCTGCATTACATATAATGGACTGATGTGGCAGAGAAACCATACATTTTTCTCACAATAAATGGAGTGCTATTCACCACAATCCATCATTAGCAGGAAGAGGTTTTAAAAAAGTATTTTAATTATAAAAAAGGCATTTTTGATTTGTGTGTGTGTGTGTTTGATTATGTGCTGATAAGTTTGACTGTGTGGTAATTGAGACAAGTCGGCGCTGGTGCGGTATCTATCATTACCGCGGTATTTACTGCTGCTGCGGTATGTAGCACCGCCACCACGACATCCCAAGTCTTTGGTTTTAACAGCCGTGCAGCTGTGGAGACTATGTATCATATATTAAATATTGTAAAACATAGCATTTATTCCCTGCTGTGGGAAGGTGGTAGGAGTGTAAGAAAATGTTTTTTTTAAATAAAATAAGTGTTTATTAACAATTAATGTGGAAATATTCATGGTGTTGGTTTATTATATTTTTATTTTATTTCTTCTCTAGTGATTACAGATGTAGATACCTCTGTTCCAATTTTAGTAACCTGATGTTAAGCATGTAAAAGTATTGTTTGTTTACTTTGCTGACAGTTTTTCCACATTTTAATTGTTTTTAAAAAAGCTATATATTGACATGCCTATAGTATCGCAATATAGCACAAGTATTGTATCATTGTCCCTGAATCGTGATAAGCATCGTATCACCAGATTCTTGTCAATATGTCCTTTATTTAAGGACTGAGATAAAAAAGAACAGAAGACAAAAAATATTACCTTGAAATACCCAGAAATAAAAAGAAAACGTTTACACCAAGAGAAACAACTGTAGAAAATTATGATGAAAGTCAGAACGAGAGTAAATGTAGGCAAAAAGACCTTGACAAAAAGGTCTTGAGTAATCATCATTGTTCCAGTGACGCAAGTGTGGCCATCATTCCTCCACTGAACTGCCTTCAATACCACACACAGGGAAGTAGTTTCAAACAGAACTTCCTTTCACGTGTTTTCCTACAGATTCTTCATTCATGAATCATTTTTATCCCCAAAATCAAGTCAAGCTAAATAAAATTCATTCTTTTCTCTTTTACCTGTTTCTCGGCAGCGTCCTCATCTTTGCATCAGCTCCTCCAGGTCCCCAGTATTTATTCTGTCCCCCATTGGTTCCTCTGTTTTGACTCTCGCCCACAAACAGCGACTGTGTCACTTCCTGGCTGGAGCCTTCATCCTTGGGGTAGCTGCCGTCGCTGGAAGGAGAAGAGGAGAAGGAATTCAAAATTTTTATTTTAATCATACCTAACCCTAACCATATGTGTAATCTTTCATCTAAAAGGGAAATGAAATGAAATATGTAATACTATTTACAAGAAAGACGTCCAGGAAATCACACAGGAAATGTAAAGCTAGTCATAAGATTAGTGTGAAATCTTCTAGATATGAATTCCAGGAACAATTTCTAAATTACTTCCTGCAACAATTAACCACTGCTTTTGCATTTCTCAGTTTAGCTAAGTGTAGTTTTGTGACGTCCGAAAACATCACTGTTGGACCAATAAAGTGTGATGGCTGTTAACAGATTTATTCAGATTTTTTGTAATTTTGTTGGTCACACAAATATCAGCTACAGCTCCCTCTTCTGTCTGCAGTTTGAACACAGCCTTTTATTGGGTCACTTTCAGACAAATTATTTACTCTTTACACTCTTACACAGTATTTAACTCAAACCTTTTTATTTTACATAATGACACAGCGCTGCTTCAATGTGAGTGATTTGAACATGTACACACCTGGCAAAGGATAGTCCCACTCCATTGTCTGCAAAGCTAGAGTAGAGAAACATGTGTTAGTGTCACCAAATGTGTTCATGAGCAAACCATGTAAACGCAAACAGAGCAGTGAGACGTGTTCACAGTGTTCACTCTCACCAACAATCAACAAACAGCGGATGATGTCATCAGAGGAAATGAAAGCGAATGTTGCTGTTTTACATCTCAGTCTCCATTATGCAAAAACATAATGCTCATTACATCACTGACTTAAAATTTGTCTCACCCAGAATTCTGAATGATGATGTCACCACCACGGATCCACGCGCCAAGGTCATTGTTCTTAAAGGAAATTAGTGTGTCGATGATAGCAGCCACTCGAGGTCGGCTGGGGTCAGCGTTCTGGTGTGGTCTGAACCTGAAGAACACATACAAATACATATATTACAAAGACAGGTTCATGCGACTTTTACCATGTTAAACATATATTTCTGCCAATACTATCCCAGTACTATAATGCCAACACTATAGAGCTACAAACACAAGACAAGACAAGTCTTCTGCAGGAATATACAGAGGTACCAGAGCATATAATCACAATGATATTACATCATGAATCTGTCCAAATATTATTTACGAGCAGATTAGATTCTAGCCTCACAGATTGTTGACTTCACTTCTCACTGCCGTCCACAACATGTTCACCCCTGTAGTATATTGCGTCATTGAACAAGAAAATAGGTTTATCCCCATCTGGGTCATAAATGTACTGAAAACATTTAGGGCCAACTTCCCATTTGATTAGGTAACGTGCAAAGTAAAGTATTCTTTAATAATAAAACACACACACACACACAAATAATAGAAAAATAGACCCTAAATATCTGCTGTTATAATGTTACTGTTTTCTTGTTTAAGTTCTGCTCAAAAACAATCATGGAGTTCAGTTTTACAAAGTAAAATACAATGCACTGTGTAGTTTACAACATTGCAGTACCAAAACTGTACAGCAGGGTGCCAGACTGCCAACACTTATGCAAATGTTGAAAATGTTTAAATAAAAAAATAACTCTAGATGAACCATGCCATGGTTGACCTGGGAGAGAATTACAGAAAGATATAAAACCAGGGTTATTCATCCACAGTTAACAGGGTAGAACTGACAAAGTCAGAAAACTCTAGAGAAATAAATAAGTTGTGTGTCAATGTGTCTAAGGATTTTCCCATAACTGCGAAGACACCTTAAATAATCTAGAGTTTAAAAAGTCTTCTACACTACACAGGGGTTTCCACTCGCACAGCCATCACATGCATGCAGTGAGTGAGTGAGCAATTTATTCAAAACCCACGTGTGTTATGTGTGAGGGTTGGGTCTTTTAATCTTATATCTGTATAGCTCTTTGTGCTACATTCATTGTATGTAAAATACTATATAAATAAGTTAAGTTAAAAAGCATTGCTACCACCAGTGTAAGTACATTCTTAAGTTTTGTGTTAGAAACAGCCATTTACTGCAGAGGTTGACCAACATCATCAACATAATCATCAGCAGCACTGCACCAGTAAATGGTCTGGGAAGCCTGGAATCCCATGCTGCTATGCTTGGAAATGAAGAAGTTTAAAACGTTTGCACACAACGAAGAGGAGGTGGAAAAGTAGAAAGAGAAGGAGGCGGAAAAAAGGAACCACAAATCCAACACCAGTGCTTGTCCCCCTTGTCCCCCCACATTAAAATGATGAGGTGTGAACTCCAGGAGTCCAAGATTTATATAATTAAAAAATACCTTAAACAAGTCACCTCAACTCTTTCTGTCAAAGTTATTTATTCATTATTTTGTTAAAACAAACTCTCAGAACTAAGTCTTCATTTTAAAATTCAAAATCCTCCTCCTCATACCTCTGCCCACACATCTGTACACATGGCCAGCACTCTCAGTGGACACATCAGATTTTTTCCATCTACTGGGAGACTGTGTTTGGGCAGAAAGAGAGCGAGAGCAAGAACGAGAGAGAGAGAGAGAGAGAGAGAGAGAGAGAGAGAGCAAGAGAGTGGAAACTCAATCTGTGAAGCCTTATTTTCTCTGTCAACACAGAGCTGAACAACTTCCACTAGAATGCAAAAAAAGTGAAAGGCCGTCTACTGTATCTCCCCCCATCAATGAACAGATACTGGTATATATGGAGGAAAAAAAGATGTAAAAACCTCAAACATGTATTAATCGTATCCTAAACAAACAAGTGAGTCAGCCACAAACCATAACATTTACCTAATGTAGCATTGAATGATAGAGATAAACTTTACTTTAGGATTTTTTTTTCCTTGTAACATTATCCTTCAACAACTTTTGAGAACTTTTTTTTTCTCAACTGAACAATAAATGGACCGGATCCTGCATATTTTTAGCCAGCCTTTTTCGTCAGCTAAAACTTTCATCATACCACCTTAATTTAAATACATATTAGGGATGTCAACTTTAATGCATGAATTAAATTAATTTGTAAAATTATTCTGAATGAAATAAGAGTGAAATATTATCACACAAAATAAGGAGGTGGAAAAGTTGGCATGTTCCTAGTAGGGGAAAAACGAATGGGAAAAACAGACATGAATTAAAAATCATGAAGACTGCAGAATGTGAAGTGGTGAGTAAATGTCAACATTCCTCACCTTAATGTAAAAAGCAAATGTCTCTAAAATGATGGGTGGAAATGGCTACAACGCGAGACCATGAGTCATCACCCACTGAGGGTCATCATTCATGACATCACATCATGCTCTGACACAGAATTTGAACTTTCTGCTCCTTGAGTACACAATCTTGTAGTGTAGTGTAGAATAGTGTAAACTGGACAACATCGTAATATTTTTTTAGTGACCAGGTCACAATGTTTACATGGTACGAATAATACTGTAAAAATGTCAAACACACCTGGCACTGTTGTCCAGACACAGATATTCCCTGGGGTCAGCAGCACTGGCGTTTGTTGTCTTCACTCCTTTATCAATGAACAGTCCAGCCTGAAGAGAAAAAAGAAGTTCTGTTAAAAAAAAACAATAAACTACTGTTTACATTAGTGATGAAATGATGCATCGTGAATCGGTTAAAATTGATCACAGCATTTCACATCTGTTGAAATAAAATTTGAATTGCGCATCAAGGCGTAAGGAGGAGACTGTGTTCTCAAAAAAAAATCTCAAAAAGACTGTTTTACCATGAGACACACTCTACAGTACAGTAGGTGGCGATATGCGGATACAAACAATGTGCACAATAGGGCAATGATAGATGCAGTGAGGATGGTGGCACAAGTGTGGGAGGAGTCACAAAGACTTGTTGGTGTTTTTTTATTTCGTGTGAGTGCCACCGCACGCTAAAGTATTCTATGGACAGTAACATACTCATTGCTGGACGTATGTGTCCATAGTTCGTCCTCCGTCAATGTGATGACATCATGAATTACTCGTCAACTCAACCTCAACTTTATTGTCATATGAATCAACATGACAAAAACCATTAGTTGTCAATGCTCTATGTTGCTTTATCACAGAATGTAAAATTATTTATAATAAAATCATCTGTATTAAACTGAACGGCACAGGACTGTGTGATAGTAGTCACACAGTCCTGTGCCGTAAAGTTTAATATACATACACATACTGTACATAGTCTGTGTGATCTGGGCACACAGACTATGTATGTGTATGGACACCCATGTTCACTGTTTTGTTCCATGGAATTATTAAGCTGCAGTTTTCTAAACCTCCACCTATAGGAGAGACTGGTGAAGTTTGACTGGACAAAGAACTCATAGTTCACCTGCCTGACTTTACGTTACACAACATACCACTATTGTGGAGCCAACCTCTGTGTATATGTGTGCATGTTCCCTCTTTTGAGCTTGTACCAAGAAAATAAGCAGAGAATTGTTTACAAGTTTCAACCTCTGCTCAAATAAACACGACCTTGAACATCCTGGGGAATAAAAACAGCAGAAATACATAGAGAACAAGCAGCAGTACCCCTGGTACCTTAAAGTTGGAGTGGACACGATTGTTGTAAAAAATCCCCAGTGGAGTGAGCTCTGCTTTGGTCTCTGCTTCAAGGCCGTGAGAGTCTCCAGTGGACGAGCTGTAAAACACAAACCATATGCCAGCGTCCTAGATGGAGAAGGAAAAGAACATGAATGATAAGTGAGAGTATAGAAGTGATAAACAAAGAAGACTCTCATCTACAGTCGCGAGAACTGCAGGAATTTCATTATCTGAGATGGAATTCCTTAATTCAGTAAACAGAACAGGGAAGGATGTCACGTGACAACCATGTTGGTCCAGTTCCCGTTCCATTTCATATGTATCCATTTAAGGTTATGCCTGTCAGTCTATGGAAGATAAAAAATACCCCCTACCAGTGAGTAGTTTCTTTAAAAGCTCTTCCATAAGAACATTATCTGTGCCTGAAATGAAAACAGGATGAGGGGTCTCCCTCCTCCGCTTCTATTTATTAGACTTCTAACTATGTTATTCCAGGATTCTTTGTACATAAAAGCTTGTTTATTCAAAATTTAATGTCAGATCAACATTTTAATGACACATAATCCACTAGTGGCTTCTTGGATTTTATGGACTACCTTCAACAATGAGAGGATTTCCCCTTTAGTGATTCATCTTCTCATTTATTACTGGTGAAAATATTAAATATAACCCAATGTTGTTTTCTTCAATTACTCCAGTGTTATTACCTGAGAACCAGCAGCAGCGTTGCTGATGAGATTGTTGTTGGGGTTGGTGATCCAGAATGTAGAGACTGCCCTAGAAAAAGAAGGGAACAAATGAGTAAAAAAAATAGGATTTTTTTTCTGCATTATAATGACCAAGGAAGTTCAATATGGTATTCCAGGAAGAAAAAAAACGATAATTAACCTTTCCAACAGAAAACTTTGTTGGACAGAGCTCTGCAAAGTCTCACAGAGAAACTGGTGGAAACAGACCTGACTGTTTTTCCCCTCACAGAGGAACCTTTATTTTTCTTACTCTGACATAGAAACATCCCTTCTAGAACGTAGCTTGTTATTCCACTGATAAAGTCATCCTGCCAATATCTCTCTGCAGTTCACTTCAAAAAACAACAGTATCTCTTAGACCGACATTGGCCTGCTGGCTTTCCTCAAAGTATGTTTGTAGTAATTCACCAGGTTTCCCACACTCACGCCACAGTCACTTATTCACTATAACTATCTCTATCTGTGGCATTTTACTCATACCGTATTTACAGGTATTTTCCTATTGGCAAGTGCCTTGATTCGTTGCTCACTCTTTATGTATGCTGTAAATGGAATCACTTCTTTTAATTCAAAGGAAGTTTATCCCTGTGTGAAATCCCCCTTTCTTTTAACTACATTCATCAGTTCATCAGTTGGTAGCTACAATTGCCTGATTCTCCAATCAGAATTCACATTATAGGTGCAATACTGTGTATATTTGTGGACACATTAAACAAAAAGAACTTTATCCGTAAGTAAAACAAAGTCCTTACTTTACATTTTATTTGAACACTCAAATAAAATGAAATTAAAATCATATTTATCAACTTTGTTGTTTTTTTTTGTATTATTTTTGAATTGAGTAGAGGGACGATTGGACAGTTCACAGGCTGGATACAGCCTATGGACCAGCAGCTGAGGATCACTGCCTTAGACCATGTGGCCTACAGTCCTTGCTGTGTAATATGTTGCAACTGTTTGAACAAGGATTTTTAAAAACTGTGTAGAAAGTCGTTTTGTCATCACTTTCCCTGTGTTCATGTTTCTAACCAGAGATTTATTGCAGCAAGTATAGCTCTCTGTTGGTCTCTTACTTGCACTCGGTACTGGGAGATGGAGTGTAGCCCTTGTAGACTTTGTCCTTGATGCTGGTGCACAATGTGTCATTGCGATCTGTGGGCAACTGAGTTCCAGGTCTCGTCATCAGGCCAAGGTTGTGAAAGAAAGTGTTGCGCTGTTCGATTCCGTCTTTAAGGAAAAAACAGTGACCTAAGGTGTCGTATCCTACAGTGTTCTTCACCTGGAACAAGGACAAAACACCATGAGACTCTCAGACTGGCCAGTTCTGAGCTGGAAAGAAAAAGGAACGTTTCAGTCCTAGCATTTGTACTGTTGTCACAGGATGGCCGCCTAATTACTTCTGGAAATATGCAAAAAAAACATTAGTCAAACAGAAATGCAGTGCAACCCATCGGCCAAATTCCTACCACTTTACAATATTTAAACTTCCTGACTGAAGGCTTACAAAGGTCCTTTTAAAACATACTGTACCTGCCTAAAGCTATGCAGAGAATAATAGTATGAAGCACAAAAGTATGAAGAGAATAGCAGGAGCAGACACAAACACAAGGAAAACTATCACTGTGTCAGAAAGGAAATAACCGATGCCAAACAAAAATAGTAACCTTTTCCGTCTTCTGTTTCAGTCAAGGACAGTAATTATTAAGTCTGTTACACCCAACAACGTACAAGGGAGGAAAACGACAGCCATACACAAAAACAAAAAATATACGGAAAACAATTATTTGTTTTAAAGAGACTGGGTGTAAGATCCTACTGAAGTAGGAAAAATTATAACAGAACAAGAGGGCAGAATAAAAAAAGTGAGGAGAGCGAGGCCATAACATCAATCTAGTATTCATTGGTCTAATTAAAGAAGACTGAAGAGTTCAAGATGTTTGTGTGGGTATTAACCGTTAGTGGAGTTTTATAATCATCACTGGCACTACACCAAACACTTGGCTCCAGTTGACCATTACAACATTCAAAGGAGAATTTTTAATTTGCGGCAGATCTAAACCAAGATCTGACCAGATATTCACAGCTTGATCAGACTGTGGTGTGGCTTGTTTACACACCCTGATCTTGGTTTCAACAACTGGATTAGATTCTCCCTGATGGCAAATATCAATCATGGTTGATGTTTATGACTTGAAGAAGACATGCTAACTGTAAGAAAAAAGCTTCACCAAGCAGTAAGATTCACTTAAGTTTGAATGTTTAGTTATAAATGTAACAACAGCTTTTGTTCTCACTTAAAATGAGACCAAAATCTTCTTCACACCCATTTAATTTAGATTTTTGGAAAGTGTGAATGTCTGTTCTATGGTTATTCAGTCAACTCAGAGAAATTAAAAGTAGCAACTTTAAAGTACTCTAGGCAGATGCAGCCATTCATTTGATTACAAAGAGGAGGCGCCAGGAGGCCATCAGTTGGTCACTACCACAAATATCTGTATTTGGACCGACCTACACAACACAACAGAAAGACTCCATCTGATCAGCACTCTTTTATAATGTGTTTTTCTGCCTAAATGTCAAAAAACAGGATGTTGGTCAATTATTTTTTGAGTGATGTGATATATATATTATATATTATATTATATATATATAATTATTTTAAGAAATGTGCAATTATATTAAACCTCCCACATCCCTAGTGTTTTGAGGAATAACTCCTGCAGATCACAATTGCGATACATATATACCATATTATCATAGAACAGTCTTTTACAAAATTAAAATGTTTCTTATCTTCAAACTCTCCTGAATGTAAATGGCATTGAATTATGGTAAGGAATGAAAACATAATTTCGTGAGTGAAATGAAAATCTATAAATTCCAGTAAATCCTGTGAATATCATTTTACACTTGACTCTGAGTTGCTCCTCATGGTTTGCCATTTGACAAGTATTGACTAATGTGGTTGAACTGCTGCAAATGAAATCTCATGTCATGTGAAATGTTCAAGATGTAAATAACTGAGTCAGAAAATGTCCAGCGTTCCTCTTTCTTTTACTGTGATTAATCGACTACTGACCTAATCTTCATTATTTATAGACAATTGGAATCGACGTTGAACTTGTTCCACACAGTCACACATGCAATCTGTACTAACCAGCAAACCGTTGGTGCCATGGATGGTGAGGCAGCGAGAGAAGGAGTGGTGAATGGAGAGTCCATCCACATACGTGGGCTGCACGTAGCCTCCCCTCTGGTCGACATCGCTGCACATGTGAAACTGTAGAGGGTAGCGTCCTTCCTGTGCTTGCTGACCCATGTTCTTTAACTCGACATAGGACAGATGCACTGATGAGAAGTTTCCAAAGACCTTTCAGTGTGGGGAGGGAGAGAGAGAGAGAGAGAGAGAGAGAAAGAGAGAGAGAGCAACAGCTTTAAATAATGCAAAAGTAATTGACAATGGTACACATGTGGAACACGCTATGTAACAAAAAGAAGTTGATCGTCTGGCCATTCTGGTCCAATTAGGTCAACAGCACGATTCTGTGTTTGTCAGGATCCCTGGAGACATGAGCATTTACTGTTGTCACCAAACAGACTCAGAACTACCCATTGTTCTCTTTGTGAGCATGTACTAAATGTTACCTTCAGTGGGTATGAACACATGCAAAACCAAAATTCTGCAAAGGATTGAGTGAAATCACAAATTGATATCAAAAGAAACATTAGAATATATTTTGAATATGCTGTACACTGCTCGGTAGGAGGCCTTTTTGTTGGTATGGCCTGAAAACCACAAGTCTGGTTCCTGTTAAGAGAGGATTGGCCAATCCCTTTGGTAACACACAGACAGAGAATAAGAGACAATCTCTCTTTTCTTTTACTGACACACAGATACTGTACATGCACAATACACAACTTACACTTACGTAACTAATATTTGGAGGTGTGCATACAGCAGATGTACATAAAAGAAGGACATTACTGCCAAATGGTTTATATCCATGTCCAGATGGGAGTACTTTGACTGGATTTTTAAGTGTTTGGTTAGTGTATGTGTGTTTGTGCATGTGTGTTCCTGAGATCAGTACACTTGGAATGGAAAAGTCTATCATTTTAGAAGCAGATTGTGCAATAAAAGTGTTTTTGCTGGAGACCACTCGTGAGGGTAAGAAAAAAAAAATTAGATGGAAGGGTGTATTTTATTTTGCACAAAGGAGACAAGTTACACACAGCATTAGGAATGTTACTATGTGTTCACATAAAATGGTAAAGGAGTCTTATCATCCATCATTGACCAAATTACAGTGTCTTCATTGCCTTAAGACCCATAAAGGTCAGGGTGGATTTGATGCTGCGGTTACTGTCATTGCAAAAGTGATAATCTGTCCTTGGTGATAACTCAGATTTATTGAGTGCACATAATTTACATCAACGCTGCAAAATGAAAACTTCACATTTATGTAGAGCCAAAAAAGTGGGAAAGATATGGACAGAATGTTAATCAAGGAAAAGTGGAATACTGAACATATCTCCACTGACCCTGGAATGGTGTGTAGAAGTAAATTTTACAATCTAATCTGGTTCCTGCAAAGTAGTGCAGACATCTATTCATTCATTATTTGTTGTTTTTCCTGTTTCCTGTTTGGAAACCATAAATTACTATATGAACAAAATGCCAGTCACATGAAATGCAGTTCTAAAATATCTCAATAATAAGCATGTGATACATCATACCTTGATGTGGCCACCAAAGGTGTCATGGTTGTAGAACTGGCAGAGGTTGTACCCATAACAAGAGCTTTCCATTTCTCCGTAGATCAGGATGTTCCTGGAGAGCAGAGCGACTTCAGCACGCATGTCCACTCCGTCTGTGATCTCTCCCACATGGTTATACTGGGGTTTCCCTGAGCAGCAAACACACGTGTCAAAAACAGGCATTATCTGTTTTTGTGTTCAGTCAATTTCAGCCAAGCAACAATAGGTTGACAGTTTTGAGCCAATGTAATAGCAACAGATTCAAATCCAGTATCAGAGTAAGAGAATAACTGAGTATTCTGAAGTGTTCTGAAATTAAAAATCTGCACAAAACAAAATGTTAATCCTAAATTTGTGTGATAAACAAAAGTAAGTACTGAGCATGTTTTTTAACTTTTTATACATATCCGCCATTTGGAAATCCCAGAATATGCACAGCTACACCCAAACTATACACAGCTACCTACACCCAAAAACCAAATAAATAATATTGGAAAAAGAACTCAGAAAACACAAACCTCTGCCAGGGTTTCTGTTCTGAGTTAATACACTCCCTACATGTCACGCTTAATGATGTTTGAAAAGAAAAGTCATGATTTTAGATATGGTTAAGCACCAAAATCATATTAATCCTGACATTTTTTACCATATCAATCTTTTGCTCTTAGGGAGACACCGCTCAGACAGAAGAAGATAAATGTCAAAAAATAACCTGTCTCAGCTCAGATAAAAACAGACCCTTAAGGCAACATCACAAAACAAAAATATTAAGCCATTAATGATGAGGAAAAGCTTCTGTACCAACAGGGAGCAAATAATGATAACACACAGCTGTACTTCAGCTGCTCTGCCCTTCCTCGGGGCAGCAACACAAAAACTAGGCACAATGTCAAAAACCAACACACCCCTCTCTCCAGGAAGGGAGTCGGTGATTTGCTGACGACAGAGGAATGAGATCAGGAAATGTGTCTGAGAGAGATGAAGCAAACACGAGCAAATAGTTCAAAAACTGAACTCAAAGCCCAGAAGATGAAGTGTTACAGTGTCTAACTGCAGAAATGCAGTTGAAAACACTGGAATTTTGTTCTACTTCTTTAAATTGTGCTCACAGAGAAATTTGATAATTTTATTAAATGCTATAATTATTTCACCCTTTATATGTTTATAGAAATGTTTACCTTACATTTTCACCCACCTCAAGCAATGCAAATAATATGTAGCTATTTTTGATTAATGTGTTCTAGTCATAGCCTTAATTTTTATTTGGGTTTTACGATCATTTCTCTGTTCTGTGATTATTTTTGGATGGACATAAGTTTCCTCTGCTACTATTTTAAGTTTTTGGGCTCATTTCCAGCTACCTTTTAAATACTTTGTTGTATCTGTTTTGAGCACTTTTAGGTAATCTCTAGTTATTTATATTAACTTATTAGGTAAGGTTAGCTAATAAGGAGAGCTCTTGTAAACAGAACCACCCCAGTTACACAATTGTCAGCAGCTAAGCCTGCACAAAGACAGAGATGGCAAAACAACTTTGGTTTTCTGATGGTCCACTGACCAGAAATCCAGTGGAATTTCTTTTGTTTTTCTATATTTCAATTGTTGTGATGACCAGTTGGACTATGACAGAAACCTCCACTGTGTGTTAGTGTGTTTTCATTTTTTTGAATGTAGAGGGTGATACCAAGAATTTTGGAGAGCATGGAAGAATTCATAGTTTGTTGCATATTATTGCAAATTAAAATAAATAAATCAATGCATGAACATAGTGAGAGGCCAGAAATGTTTTGTGGTCATTCGGTATCTGTGCCGGGATTCTGTGGTGGGTCGCCACATCCGAGATAATTATTGGGAACACAGGGACTTAAAGATGGGGAACTGGATTCAAATTATTTCATTTTCAAGGCATTTTTATCTTGTTAATCTGACAGCAACAAAATCATTTATTATCCTTTGAAGAACACCATAGGCTTTAAAAATACATCTCTGCTGCAATTTATCCTGTTACACAAATACAGAAACTGTGCAGCTCAAAATGGAAACATGCAGCAAGCCTCAGGTCAGGTTACAGGCTAAATCCATGCAACACAGGACAGAAAATACACAGTTCTACACCACCAAGACAAAAATAGCAAACCTCCCCTCACTTACCTTGTATCTTGACCTGCCTGCTGGTGCACTGACGACAAGGCAGCAGCGTGAACTCTTCAGCCTGGTGCATGGAATAGTCTGTACTAGCAACTACAATAAGATCGCCTGGTTTCCAGGTCTGCTGGACTTCATCCTGCAGGTTTAACACCACCTGGTCCACAGCGTCCACCTGGAAGCCGGAAATAGCAAAACCTGCAGAGACACACAAGAGAAATCCAGAAAATACCACCCTAATATAAAAAATGATTACAACATCTTGTCTTAGTAGGTCATTTATTTCCACTGAAGGGTGACTCAGCTCTTGGCTTGTGAAATAGTTCAATAAACTAAGTTGTGAAGAACTTCACTAAATGTGAAGAAGAAAAAAATGGCATTTCCATCTGTTCAAGACCTGGTATTGTTATAACTTCTTGGCCATAAAAGTAGAGACACCTTCAAAGACAAAGGAATGTCTTTTAAGTTTATATGATTGATCTGTAATGCCCTTGGCTGACATATTAACCTTATTCCTGACCTTTGTAGCCAATAGTCTTTATTAATTATTGGTCCACATTATTGACTCAGCTTGTCAATATGTAACACCACTGTAGAAACTGTTAAAAACTCATTTAAAAAAAACAAATTCTCACCGTTCTTCCATTCACTGTAGGCTGTCACTGAGAAGCCAACTCCGTCCACAGTGGTGAAGTTGCGTCTTACCAGAGCTCTTCCTCCTGTGTCGTGATTTTCATGCTCTCGGACATCCTCCGTGCACGAAGTATTACCACCACCGACGACGGAAACCAATGCCCAGGCCTGCCTAAAAAAGCCAGAAAGATACAGGGAAAGGTAGAGAAGGTGAACACAGAAAAGTTAGGGGAGAATGTTTTCTACAGACTTCCATTAAGCTTACACAAAAAATGATGTTGTTGTTCGTCAGATACGAAATATACGAATATACGAACATATTATCTGCCTCTCATCAAAATGAGCAATTTAGAGTACCAAGTACAACTGGGCTGGATTGATCCTGTAAAATCCTGGTATCTTGAAAAAATATTTTACACCAAAATCTGATCTATTAGTTGTAATAACAATTACCAAATCCATTAAGCCCAAATAACTTCTGGGTTTCGTATCATAACTGTAAGAGCAGGTACTAAAGATTTAAATGCATTTGTTGATACAAATGTACACAGCCAGTCCCAGACTCCAGCCAGCTCCAATGACCTAATCTCTGCATCACGTAGGAGTGAGCTCATATGAGAACACAATAGGAAAAACACCAGAGAAACTTAAGTCAGTGAACTGGCGAGCGTTCTGCTACTACATGTCCAACAGTATGTTTATTGAAATCATACCATCAGCCTCTAGAACCCTGAGATTTTGTACAAAGCAAAGGAGTAAAAATGTGAAATGTCAACATTAGGTAAGAGTTAGAAACAGATCCTGAAAGAGATTGGGAGAGGGATAGGATATTTTAAGCTCTATTTGCTTCTGTGAAACAAAAAATAACATGAAATAACAACCCATGGACAGTATCATTTGTGTATTGCAGAAATGACAACTGAATGGATGATGGAATCTTTGGTTAAACATTGTAATTAATTCAAGCAGTTAAACAGTTAATTTTGTCAACCCTGGTTTAGACTTTTCAAACTTTTCAATCCCTGAGTCTTGTGCTTTTGAAAAATCAACACATGTGAAATTAAAGCTTACACTGACTGTGGTGTGAGGATAAAAACATGAACAAAAACACTCCCTTTCTGTAGACACCACTGGTGTGATGCCATAAGATGAGCCTGATGCAGCACAATAGTTTAAGGAGGTGCAGGCACATGAATGTCAGACACAATTTTATGCAATAGTGGAAAGACGCAGAACAGATTAAATGAAATGCAGGCTATAAAAGTTATGGTAAAATTAAATGAGGGCAGCATGTTTTTAAAAAGGATGTTCATGAAGTTCTCAGGTAGGAGACAAAGAGGAAGCCCAAAGAGGATATACAGTATATGGATGCAATGAGGGAGGACATGCAGATAGTTGGAGGCAGAGCTGAGGATGCAGAGAACAGGACAATATGGAAATCAATGATTTGCTGTGGCAACCCCTGAAAAAGGGACAAAGCTGAAAGAAAAAGAAGAAGAAAAAGTGAAGTTCTCAGGAAATTGGGTGTACCTGCTATGTCCAAATACTCAACTTCACATTTTTCTCCACATCCTCCCTTCTTACATCACTGCCTACTATCTTATGAAGTAGGAATGCAAGGGAAAATAATTTAAGTGAGAATGCAGCAACTAAGTAAGAGGCTAAAAGCGTGTTGCACCTGAGGGTGTGGACAGCAAATGGGTCTGGGTGGGAATTTGACAGCGAATGACCTAAAGCAAGGTCTTTCACAGCACGTTACAGATGTAAACATTTCAAATGTCAAGTTCTCAGCTTCTGAAAAATGACATTTTCTTTAAAATTGTATAGAAAGAAAACATGTACATGTATACCACTTTCTGAACATTTTAGACTATTGTTTTACCTATGACCTGACCTTTACTCTATCATCTGAATCTTACCCATAATCAACATGACCCTCTGTCACAGACTGATCATTCAGAAGACTATATTTAAAACTATGAAATCTTGGGTTAGCAGCTATGCATTCTGGGGGAAGTAAGTATTGCAGAACATTTGTTTTCAATAGACAATGCTTTAGTGAATCTCATGCATGTCTGCACATGTCTGAATGCTTAATTTTTCGCAATGGGCAAGATAACATTTTGACACAGTAATCAATTAACATTGTCAATTATTTTACGCACATTTACACAGTTATTAATATTGTAATGATTATAGAGCCACATACAGAAAAAAACATGAATCACAGGAGAGTGGTATTAACCAGTGTCATCGTGTATATCAATCAATCTGGGATGGTTCTAAAACTACTGCAGATGAACCACTGTGTTCGCAGTAATGTAGCATATGTTGTTGTGATGGATATGTTGAAATGTTAGGACTGTGGATCAGACAGAAAAACTGTCCAGGACAGGAAAAGGAGACTGGATTAAATGTATTTGCAAAAACAAAAATACAACTGTGAATGTTAACTTTTCAGCAGCCTGATATTAAATGCCAGGATAATTTACTGCTGATCATATCCAAAATTCAGATACTTTTATTGTCCATAAAAATGAAATATCTGATATATCTGCAGAGTAAAGGACAAATTGTCAAAAGTTACTGGAATCCATCTAAAGATGCCCTCTCATCTTTAATTTCCACTACATTGTATGACTTTCTATGACCGTTTTTGTTAAGAAAGGAAATCAAAGAAAGCCTCTTCTGTGTCCCCAGGGTCTACTTTACAGACTGGACAATAAGTTTATGGAGCAGAGTCAAAGTGGCTCCATTATTTAGAGACAGTGAAAGGAAATGCGACAGCGAAAGTGTGATTTGTTTTTTCCTTTTACCGCACCCTTGAGTCCATGGTCATCAGCATTTTTAAAAACCCTCATTGTCTTAGTGGAAAAGTACAAATGGGACAAGGCCAAAGGTGTATTCACTACAGGACAGTATGAACTTCTGTCTGAGAAGCAAAGATTAAAGACAGAGGGTCAACAGGTGCAAGAGCAGGAGCCAAGGCATTTATATGTTTGTTCCTGAAAGGATGTTGACGCAACTAAAACCAACCCTTATGAACGTTTGGGCAATTTCAACCTCGCAATTGTTAGTCACTGTTTATTTTACATTTTTCCATGCCAAATGATTTTTTCAAACAACCCTTCTTATTTAGCATAAAACAGCACTCAACAATCAAAATCTTTCTGTTCTCATCCACACAGTAAAGTGATTGGTGTGCACATACACATACACTCATACATCCACACATGTCGATGTTTTTTTGGCTCATTTATATTCACTTTGAATGGTTGTGTTTGTGGACCTATGTGCAGACTTGGCTGAAACCTCCTGAGAGGAAATGTGACATTAAAGACTTTAGCATAGGTTTTTAAATACACTAAAGACCCAACCTGACTGAGATACACAGTAAAGAGGATATAATATTCCATTAATATGTAATATATATACAAAATATAATATTCCATTGTCTTGATTTCATGGTCAAAGCATAAAGCATAAGCACAAAACCTCTTAGGAATCTGGTCCAAATGTTCAATATTTGTCCTTTCAGGGCACAGGAAAGAAAAAAAGAAAGAAAAAGAAATCTTCCAATCGTCACAGCTTGCAAAAACCTTGGTAACCCTCTGACCATAACCCCATTATCTGGAATGTTCTTCCTGTTCTGGTAGAGCATGACATGGCAAAAACATGCGGAAACAAAAGAAGGGTACAAATGGAAACGACTTTAAATAGCCCTAAGAACAAATCTGGTTGCATGAAACTTAATGTTTTTTCAAGCATGACTGGCAGATAACCAGAATGAAATGATGATATTGTTTATCCCAGTACTTAAAAGGTGAGAGGTCCCTAGGCCTCCACTTATGTGGTTCAACAATAACACATTAACATGCTCCATCTGCCCAAGGGGAGAATAAACAAAACGTTATTGTCCCTGAAACAATAACGCTACAGAGCAACAATATAAACTCTTCAAGAGCTGGCATGTTGTGCTACATCGCTGAGCCAAGAAGTCACCGTCACCACAGAAGCATTAACAGCAATCCACATGTACAATTGACTTTGTGTGTTCAAAAATGCTGCGTAAGAAAATACGTTGCTCTTTATAGAATCAGTCTACAAATACTTTGGAGTAAACTTAAGTAACAAAGGTTCAAAAGTAACACCAGACTCCAGACAACAATTTCCTGAGGAAGGGATAATATTTGTGATCAAGAGGACCAAAATGACAGTAGACATAATGTTTTATAACGCATTTTCCTCTAAAGAAGACTGGGAAAAAATTGTATTATATTAACCGTATTATAGTGAACTAATATAGTAAAAATCTATCTATTTCATACATAGAGTCTCTGAGTTGAGTTAACTACTGCAGACTGTCTCTATCATTTTTTGTCTTTTCTAATGCACATAATGTCATGTAATCAACACTGCTTTTAATACTCATTCTAATCTCATTAGGGACAACATTTAAAATGTTTTGAACATGTTGTGACTGGTGTTACTTCAACATCAGAAATATGAAGCTCTGATTTCTGAACTGTTTCATTTGCACTGGTTTGACTACTAAACTTTTTAAGCCTAAAGACATAATATGCCAAACACGTCAAATTCGTCATTATTTAATAATAATAATAATATAGGCGCCTTTCTGTCACCCAAGGACACATTTAAGCGTTTATATTAAGATATTTTTGGGAACAATAAAAAAACAAATATGCTCGTGATATTCTAATTTCTAAGAAAATGTTCGTTTTCTATCAAAATATTTGCACATTATTCACTTACCTGTATTTGAGATCATGAACAAAGCTACTGCCTAGCTTCTCCTCAATGGCCATTTTGGTTTCATCCAACAAATTCTTAGCAGCTGAGTCTCCAACAGCTAGAGTAACAATGCGGCCATGTGGTAGTGACCGCAAAAGCTGTGTCAGTTGACGACTGTCGTTGCGGGAATCATGTGTGTCGTAGCGCTCAGAGAGTAGAACAGCAGCCGTGTCTTGGTCGACCACGCGCAAGTTGATGCCTCGGCTGAAGTTCCGTTGGAAGACATATCCTCCTGATGCCAGCCCAGTGGCAGGGATGATTCGGGGCAGCAGAGACCAGGAAACCCTCTCTGTGCCATGTAGCTCCAGGGTTCCACCGCTCTGAACCCCAATGAACTTGCGACCCAATCCAGGGACCCCCGGGACTGCTTTGTCATCAGATCTGCCCACAAGGGCTATGGTGGCGTGTGAACGGTATCGACATTTTGGAGCACCGATGTGAAGGGCTCCACCTTCCTCTATGATTATATGGTGTGTTCTCAAGGTTATGTTTTTTGAACCGTCAGCAGTGTCAGCAAAAACGACCTTACCTGTGAAAATATGGGAAAAAAACAAAACAAATATAATTTCTTGCCATAAGGCTCATTGAGAGTTCATAAAAAATCAAGTTTGGTCTCACAAAAAAACTCCTACAAATAAAGTCAACAAATAAGAGGATTTTGATAGTCTCACCTCCTGACTGAATGGTTATTGAAAGAAAAGTAGCAGAAGACTCCAATCTAAACAAATGTCCCCGCCTGACAAAAACAGCCTTCTCTGGTAGATGGCCTGGATTCCAGCTGCTGAGAGATGGATCATGGTCTGGACAGTTTTCTGTGAATGGGAATGGGTTGTGAATGGGTTGTTCGCATTGGACATAGTTTAAGGATAAAAGGGCATGAGTTGTAGAAACAATGGAAACATTACAAACCATCTAAGATCTCGCCACTTGTGAGAGACAGAACGAGAATGAGAGTGAAGAAAAGTGCACCCACTGACACACCAAAGCAAATTAGTGTGTTTTTTCTCAGCTGAAGACTCTGAGCCCGCTCCCTGCGATGTTTCTCCTCTGACAAGTTCAAACTGGCTACTCGCTCCGGTGGAGGGCCAGGAGGTTTTAGAGGTGGAGGTGGTGGAGCTTTGGTGGGTGGTGGTAAGCGAACGGGGGCCACTCGCCCAGGGACGTAGTTTGGTGACCTTTGGATGTTGCCATTGGGAGGAGCAACAAAGACAGGGAAGTGACCGGGGCCATCACTCGTCGGCATGGTATAGGTGTGTGCTACCTAACAGAAGAAGAGAAGGATACATTTAGGAAGATTCCACAACTGTCCTGACTGCAGTTTGGTTTTAGTAAATACACACTTTGTTTTGATCTAAACAATAGCTCAATGCTCACTTCAAGACTATTACAGCCAATCCTGGTCCAGTTTTTTTATGTAGACCACACCCACTTAAATATTACTATTACAGTACATTGCCTTTTTTTACAATGCATGAGTAAGAATTGCTGTAGAAGCTTATCAGTTTATGAGCAGAGTTTTTTGTGCAGGTTAAGGAAATCATACTGTGATGGTCTTAACTTAGGACAGGCCAAACACACAAACTTTTAATTGTAAACATCTTTAACTTTATCTTTTTTCTAGCTTTGAAATACAACGTTACCAATTTGTCACTTCAAGTCACAGAGCGTTGGGTCTATGAACTTATTCTCTTTTCTGTTCAGATGTGACTGAAAAATGTGGTGGCGTAAGAATATAGTTGGCTTTTGTCAATAAACAGGTCAAGTGTTGCTGTTACAATAAATGTTACAATACCATCAGTACCTGGCCATTATTAGGTAGTATTTTTGCTTGAAGCAATCATGGTTTATAAAAAGAAAAATTAGAAAAACAAATTCCACAAAAGATACAAAGAGATACAAAAAACATAGACTAAGACTTTCTTATTAAATTCAAATATCTTTAATCTTTTACATTCAGTGTCAAACAATTCAACTGTCTTTGACTTTGACTTTTCTTTCTCCCAAAAAAAAAACATTTTGTTACCATATACTTCAGTTCAAACTGAGTGCCAAGCCCATAAAATGCCTCTTCAGTTTTCTGTACAACTGCAGTTATGCAATCTTAATTTACAAAATACAGGGTTCTAAAGAGAGACTTCTGGCTTACTATGTCAAGGAGGAGGAAGAAGACTCTTAAATAAGAGTAAAAGCAGCAGGAGCGGAAGAAAAGGGATGTGCAGCTCCTGGGGAAACAAGCCAAAAGCTACCAACCATCCCACTCAAAGACCTCCAGGTGAAGGTCCTGTGAAGAGGTCAGTAAATCTTCTCCTCTAATACTGTTTATCGCAAGGGTCATTACAGCACATACAAAGTGTCTAACAATGTCTGCTGTTATAAGTAAGGTTGTGAATAATGGGTCATAACATTCCTCTGACTTGGTTAGCACATGTTAGACAGATGGCACCAATTAGAGTGGGGAAGAAAAAGTGCTCCAGCTCCAGCCTTTATTTCACACAGACTCCCGAAAATTGGTGGAAATATCACTGAACCCCCAGGACACAGACACAAACAAAGCAAGGGTATGCAAAAATGTACCTGCCTATACAAACCCGGTAGAGGAAATGAAACAGCAGAAAAAAAAGGGGTTCGATGTGACCCCACCCTCTCACAATCACTCAGAAAACATCATTCATCCATCCATTTTCATCTGCTTATCGGATCGCGGGGGCAGCAGTCTCCAACCAAATTACATTGCACCATACCAACCCCCCAAACCTTCCTGCAGGTGGTGAGTCCACTGGAAGGTACCAACTGCCCTAACCGGGATTTGAACTTTCCCTGGGAGGTGAACCCTGGGGTTCCACACCAATGACAGAGACATTGCCTCTGGGCCAAAGGACCACTCAGAACACATCACCACATCCTATTACTGGGTCCTGGTCGAATGAATTAGCATTCAATATAGATGTAATGCATATTTTTGTGGACAATGTGTTTGAACAAGTCTCATATATTATATAATTTTTTAGACTGTTTAAATTATTTGATATAAGTTTTTATTATTTTCAGGTGATGCAAGCAAATATTTATAAATAAATAAATATATATGTATATTCCTAATATTTATTTCAGGATCAATTCTTTTGCAACTATCCCTTAGGTTGTCTACACTAGATAATATGATATTATATAATATTTTGTCTTTTTTTTTACAATAATTTAGGATTTTTGCATTCTGTAGATCAGGTTCTGAGTATCGTTATCATCCAAATGTCATTATTACAATAACATTTTAGTAGTTTCCTTAGTCTGCTCATTTGCTTGGACAGCTGCATCATCTGACATATTGGGGAGTTGAGAGGTCAAGTGAAGTAAAAGTGAGTTATTGTCACTGATTCACAACACTGCACACAATTAACTGTGTCCTCTGCCTTTAACCCATCATCTTAGTGAAGAAAGGGCAGTTCAAGTGAGTACCCAGGGGGGCAGTGTGTTGGGACAATGTCCCCCTGTCCCCACACACATCTCAGTGCATCTCAGTGTGACCTGGTGGGTGAAGGATTCAAACCTTCGACCTTCTGGACCACCACTGCCCAAAAATTAAAAAACCCATTTATTTATTCAAATTGATGAAAGGTATGTAATAAATAGGGTTTACAGGATAAAGCAAGTTCAACTCAGCAAATATTGGAGTCAGCCCACATGAGTCAGAGGGTTTCAAAGCCTTTTTAAGAGCTTGTTAGAAGTACATCTGTCTGAGACAGGCACACTCCGACTAAAGACACCATAAAAGTCCTCACATTCACAAATCTTAAAGCCAAGGGTAAGCCTGTCACAATAATTAGATCACTGACCTAATGTGCAAATTAAAGTAACAGTTTTAATAAACTTGAAGACCATAATAACCAATTGCAGTGTTTAGTGTTAAGTGTTTTCAAAAGCCAGTCAAGTCATCAGGTAGAGTGAGTTTAACCCTGTTTGTGAAGCCTTGAAGGACAAAAAACAAAACAAAACAAACAATAGACTTAAAACAGAGTTAGAGGTTACATTTAAATAATTATAATAACGCAAAGACTGAATATAAGAAATAAGCTTTAAACAAGTGTTTAGGAATTTCAATTTTGTTCTAATAAAATTATCTTTCTGGCTTTGAAGAACCGAAGTCTGACAGGTTTCACTGTCGAAAAAACTATGGCACAGTGATTTTCTCACTCACTCTCTCTGTCTCTGTCCCTCCTTCCTTTCTTCCTTCGTTCACTCACTGTCTTTCTTTCTCTCTCACACACTCACTAACTCATTAGTGCAAAAGAATCCATGCCACTAAACCAGGACACAACATTACAATTTGACACAACCTAGGCCAAAAAGCAGACATTTACCAAGTTACATATCTTAATTACTGTATCTCTTCTCACTCTATCCTTTGGACAAAACCAACTCATAATCTGAGTCATGATGCCCTCTCTTCTTTCTCAGTTATATCCTCAAACTCAGCTGTGCAGTGGCAGTCTCTTTGGGAACCCTGAGATGAGATATGATCCTCCAGGCATTAGTCTTTACTACCTGGCCAAAGGCTATGTTTTCAGTCACATTCCTTGCCATAAAATAGGCCAAGCAGCCCCGGTCCCTTGCTAATAAGTGACATGTCGAAGCGTTAGTGCTGCGTTCAGACTTGATCAAATGTTCTTTTTTGTGGGGATTTCATGAAGAAGTAGACTAGAAATACACATCCAAGTTTTCAACAATGTGCTCCACATGAGGCATTTCAAAAATGTTACAAGTAAAGACTATGTTATATGTTTGATGTATGACTATATATATGTGTGTGTGTGTGTGTGTGTGTGTGTGTGTGTGTGTGTGTGTGTATACAGAATTATGTTTGTGCTGCTTTTGTGATCAGAGCTTTGAATGTCAGACAAGTTAGACAGAAAAGAGAGAGGAAAATGCATGTTTTTCTTTGGATTTCAGTGAATGGCAAAAAGGAACTGGTGACCATACATTTGTAATCATGCAGTCGAAGCACATCCACATTTTGCTCAAATGGCTACACTGGGCTAACACATGACACATGACAGTGGTTCCCAACTTTTCTTGCACCACAGACAGGTTTTATGCAAGACATTTTTGCCACAGGCCAGCAGCAGCATTGTAAGTTTGTCAAAATAACAATACTCAACAATGTTCACAACATGTAATTTAATAATTACCTAACTATTATTTAATAGTATGCACTTTCTTTTTTAAACAGGTTTTTCAAAGAATTGTTTCCCAAACAGACAAAAATGTTACTTACTCCTGCATAACTTGGGATTTCACTTACTCCCTCCTCTTACTTTGTATGTCAACTACACTATAATGCACGCACACATAATTTTAATAATTTTCCTTATATCTGGGTTCAATATCATTCCGTAAAACATGACAACCACAAGAAGTTCCGTCAATGTCCACTGCACAGAAATGATCACAAATAATCAAAGGAGACACATCTAGGTCACACATTAATACCAGCTGTGTACAGTCATACAAGTGTCCAGTAGTGATGTGATCTCTCAGGACAGATGTTAGTACTAGGTCTGAACGACATAATGGATGCAGACTTACTGATTTTGAGAGTATTTACGGTCAGAAAATGACACTGATCACAAGGCTGCGCTGCTCCTAATAGACCGAAGACTCCGTTTCTCCTTCCTTCACATTTTCCCGCTACTGAATATCAGATGTGAGGGAAACACCAAATGCAGAGTGAACAAGGTCTTGAGTATTCCCTCATTGTACAAGTATTCCATATATTAAAACAACAGTGTTATAACATAATCCATCAATTATGCTGCATTAAATCCACAAGCTGAATCTACAATTACTACTCTTTCTACTACTGCCTTACATACACTGGGTGAGTGATTTACCCTGAGTGTCACTGACTAAATCTTTAGTATATGTACTGAAAATCCAAGAGAATTTTCAATAGACAATTCCAATATCTGACCACCAGTGTGAGCATCTTGAGTGTTGCAATTGATTTAATAAAAATTTCAATTAAAAAAATCACCAAAAGGCCCCACACACAATCTTTTAAAACAAGATGAGTTTGAAGGGAAGCCTCTTAAATAACTCAAACTTAAAGTTTACCCACCAACTCCCCTTTCACTCTCTTCAGTAAAGAGTCATTTAAGTGCCCAGGGTTTGCAGTCAGAGTCCCAGTCACTAAGAAACTATGAGTGGAGTCTGAGTCAAATTTCCATAGTTTAGATTTTAAGCCCCAGTCATTGGTTTTCCAGTCAGAAATCAAATTAATGAGAGTCCTGCAGAGAAAATAGTTGAGGGTTTTTATTGTAGCTTCATCATTTCAGCATGAACTACAGTTTAGATAAAACAGCAGCTGTTTATGATTCCAACAGTGTAAACCAAACACAGCTTTTGAACACCTGTCATATAGTAACACATATTTAATTAGCCACCTCTGTCTCTCAAAAAGGAAGGTTCAAGTCCAAGTCAAGACTATAAGGTCCAGAGACTAGAAAGTTTAAGTCAAATTTTTAAGGATTAAAAATAAAAGTCTGCAGAAAACGTTTTATATAGTCAAGTGCACAGGTTTTCCATTCATAATGTAGTCATCAATAATCAGAGGGAGCTAGAGCAACCTGTTCCAGAGCCGTTGAAAAGAACAGTTGAAAAAACAGATTAAAACAAACAGACAAATAAACAAAAAATGTAAGTAATCTTAAGGCTTAGAAAAAATATCATCATAAACATGTTAAAATTGTGGTACTATTTTTAGTGACTAAAACCAGACACCATTTAAAAATATAGCGTCAATCTGGTATGTCATAACATAACTTAAGTCGTAAATGTAGTGTACCCTCCACATAAAATCCCATGAAAATGTACCCAGTAGAATCATCAGCACATTTAGCAGAAGGTCACATTACATTTGAGAATCTAGCTAGTGTCTCTTCATTACTTTAGTTGCGGAGACTAAAAACCACTTTTAGACACAAGACGGGAAGTTAAAATGATCGCTTTTTAAGAAACGAACCTTGAACGTAACTCTTGAACCTAGGAACTTTCTTCAGGTAATTCCTGCATCTCGCGTTCTCTCACACACAGACATAGATAGTCAACATAAACGTAGACGGAGCTCGTACCGTTGATGAGACTGTCCTGCTCCGCCTCTGTCCATTCGCTCTCTACCGAGCCTTTTAAAAACACTGTCCGGGCGCCGTAGCTCGTGAGGCAGGAAACAAACTGTCACTATCGCTGCTTCGCTCTCGGTGTCTCTTTTTATGAACACATTTTCTTCACATGGTGTATGTAGAAGTTTTTCCCCTTAGCTGGTGGGCTGTCGTCTGTCCGTCGTTCAGTCGCTAGTCCCACAGAGAGGGAAGCAGGCGCGGCTTGGAAAGAGCAAGCCCATGGTGCTTTCAAGTACTGTCGGAAAAGTAATAAGGTTCTTTTTTGTACTTTGAATTACTGCCATCTGTTGGTTTTAGCTTATCACTACGGGTTGTTTTAGGTCAGAATGTAGTTGACTTTGTCGATTTTTGAAGAAAAAAATGTTGGCTTATTTTTAAGGACATTTATCGAATCATTACTAATGATCAATGTACTACGCGTAGTATAAATCAACACATTTCTTACACATTAATAAAACAAATGAGAGCTTTCCTTTCAATAATATATAAATAAGTAGATCAGTTATTCAAGATAGAATATATACTTTAATATAAAGTAAACAGTAAAAACGTATGTCATTCATCAATCTTTTTGTATTGGCTTCTGTATGCACTGGACTTGATAAAAAAAAGATCGTCGTGAGGGATGTTGTAATTTCATACAACAAGCATAGCTAGTTACTATTATTGAGTTACTTCAATAAATTGTGGGGATATTTAAAGTGTATTCAAAGCTATAGTCATAATGCTGTTTTCGCACTTCCGGTTACACTTGAATGCGTTTTTAACGTCACTGGAGCGGTATGAACTGCCCTATATCGCCACCTGCTGGTATAAAAACAAGGTAAATACATAATTAATTAATCACATTTAACGTACACACAAGCGCAAACACAGTACTGTTATATCATAATTTACTATCTGAACCTGTAACCCGTGTAATCTACAAATCATTTATTTTTCACAAACAGCTGCGTTGACGTTTTGGGATTCCAGCAGTGTCTTGTTACACTCTGTCAGCTCCAAGATACACTGCCTCAATTCAACTTGATGAAATTACCACAGCGTGCACCTTAGGGCCACAGAAACACGATGTGCTCAGCTTGATCTCAAAGAAAACACAATGTAGTATTTTACTGTCATTCCAAAATATACTGCCTCACATTTAACCTACCTACGACCCACAATGAAAACAATGTGATACAGGATTGTGGTGTTTGGTGTCATGGTGTTGTACTGCCATTCTGGTAATGAGCCAACTGCTCACTGTAGTTGCACAGTGAAGCGATGGAAGGTGACACTCATCTTGCATAAAATGCTCCCAGCTGATTATTAAAACTAAATATTTGATGTAAAACTGCAGAAAATATGGGCCAAAAACATCAACCTGCTCTGTTTCTGCATAATCACTGATTGTGTGCAAGAAACTGACGTTGCAATTAAGCAATCTTTCTATATATTTATGAAAAAATAACTGTTGAAAAAGGATTAGTCACAGAGTTGCTTCTCAAAAACCACTTTATTATTTCTACCCATACAATTACTATCATTTTTTTAATAATGTAAAAGTATGTTCTGTATTGAAATATGCTGTACAAAATGAAGTCAAATCAGAGTTACCATTAGTCAAAGTGACCAGTACAAATGTGAACTGATAGGTGGTAAAACAACCGAGTTGTCATGTTGAGGAAAATAAAACACAAAAAACATTTTAAGACTGTTAAGATACTGTAAGTTGTGGAAAAGAAAAGGGAAACCAGACCACTGTCTGACAAACAAGTTACCAGTCCTGTTCTGGATCCTGGTAAATATGTGCAGCAAGTCTCATTAAACTGGTCTAAAATTCAGCAAGTAATTAGACCTGAAGGTTAACAGTAGCACCTGTGGATTGTGAAGTATTGTCAAGAATTTACAGTATTTTAACACTTTTGTGAACACAGGTCCAAGCGTTAGAAGAGATGTTAAAATATCCATTGCACAGGACTCTTCAAGATGTCAATAGTTCAGTCATCCTGTGTTTCGCAAAGCAAAATAAGAGGGAAGAACGAAAAACGAACGAAAACGAAAGCCATTTTTGGCATACAGTAGCACTTTGACATTTACTTTTCAGAGCACAGCCAGTGCCTCAATGGAGTCATCATCTGGCAGATGCTTTGTCTCCTGTCCCTCGGCTTTAATGAGCAAATCAGGAGACAACAAAGGTTCCACAAATACCACGTAGCAGACAAACAAAAAAACAACAAAAAAACAGTTTCACTACAATGGTGCCTGAAACTCTAAGTCAGTAGCAAATCTGATGCTATAGCTTCATAATCTCAGGCTGCAGTCCTTCATTTTCAGCTTGTATACAAGTAAAAACTTCAGCATCGCTTATTTTTCCTCCAAAAATGCCAAATACAACTGCATTACTAAGACTCACTCTTCACTCCTGAATGGCATTAGTGGTGTGTGTCCTAGTTGTATTATACAGAAACATTTATACAATTATCATTTCATTCATTCATCATCTATATTGATATCTGCAGATCTGCAGAGCCAAAGATGGAACAAAAATGGCCGCCAATGCCGGACTTCCTAATACAGTTTTTACTAATCTACCAAGGCTATATATGTGTATATATTTATATATCTATATACTTGTCATTTCTAAAGAGGTGTCATTGTTTGGCAATATATAGTCCAGTATTTATTTTGGACTAAATTGTGTTGACACTGATATTACAGTAACAAAACATTGTGTACTCTGAATAAGATCTAGCTTTGGAATATGCGGCGCAAAAAACAAAACAAAACAATTGACACCTAATTGGTCGAAAATAAACAACTGAAAACTGGCTTCTTGGTTCATCTGGTCAGATTCACACCTGGTATTCATTGGTCTGTCTGTAGAAGTTTATCCATTGCAAGAAGAGAAATGTTTAGCCTTTGCACAGAGATTAGATCCGACTGTCTGACACTTTATGGACTGTTCTTTTTAAAAATAAGCTAAGGTCACACGTTTGTTTTTGATGGGTTCTTTTTCTGACGATCCTTCCACATTGGTTCAGTTTTGTCTGTTCAAATGTTTGAACCTCCTCCAGATGTTGGAACTGTCAAAGTTAAACTACAGTAAGTTCAGCTGTCCACCTCTAACCTTCTCAACAGTGATTCCCAACCTCTGCACTGCGGAACAGTGGTGCCGTGAGAGCTCTTAAGGAACAGTGTGGATCCAATTCCATTCTCATTTCATTTTTCACTTAATCTGAAAACTACTATTTAGTGCAAATTGTTCACATTGACAATTACATTACACAACTCTTTAATTACATACTTTTCTTCATTTCATGCAAATATACTACTGTTGTTTTTAACTACACAGGCCCAGATTATTTTAACTTAAAATAGATAGATATATTTCATTATATGTACTTTTTGTGACATTTGTTTGGTGGTGCACTGTGGGATTTCTCTAATGTATATAAGTTCCAATGCTCTAAAAAGTTTGGGAAACACTTCTAGGAATACAAGAGATTGTTTATCCTGAAACATTTGATCCAATTTAGAGGAACACTGAACTGTAAAAGTTTGTAATTTACAGCTTAACTGTTAAGGAATGGTCTGATTTCTGCACAGTCTGTGTGTAACTGTAGAGGGCAGTCCAAGAGGACTGAATGGAATTATACTGCACGCATTTGTAATTGAATCCATGAACAGAGGGATGTTGATAGATACCTGGTTTGAACAGAGTCATTATTCTCCAGGAGTTCAACATCACACTGGTTTATGTGACGGTTTAATGCACTGTGTTATACTGATCATTTGGCAATCCTTGAACCTCTAGGGAAAATGTCACTGTATCTTGTCAGTTCTTTATTAACAGCTGATTAACATGCAGAATTTATGTCAAAATAATAAACAACCAACACACCTAGACGGAAAGAGCAAAAAATGAATGGTGACTGCACTGTTAGGAACCAGACATGATCTTGATGTAAGATTAGAGTCCTGGTGGATTATGGAGTCAACTTCATTTCCTGTCCAGTCCAGCTGGTTTTAAAAATGTTCCTAAGATGATGAAAATCCTCAGATGCGCAAAGGTCTGAAACCTTATTGTTTTCAGAAAGGCAGCAAGAATGTGTCACACGCACAAAATGGGCAACACGTGTACACATGTATGTTGTCTGAACACTAGACTACTTTCATTCACACTCTTGTGATGTGCAATTTATTTTCAACACAATATAAAGAAAGTAAAACAAGGCCAGGTGAGTTGTGAGTTCACAGCTGCAGCATGAGGAGTGGACGGCACTGTGTGGGCTCTCTGCCCGACCTCCAGAGGAGGTGGAGGTGTTTGATAAAAGACGCTCACCACTGAAAGTCAGTAATACATCAACCAATCACTACCTTGATTAAAAAAAATCCTTAAATGGAACATCTTTTTTTTCTAATATTTTTCTTCTTTTTATCCATCTTCTCTTCCATCAAATTGTTTACAGATGCCTCTACAAGTTGGCAAGCTCATGTGCCACAAACTGTTTGAGCCTCTCCAGGTATTGTCCATACAGCTCTACATCGTTATGTCCGGCTCCCTCCACCCAGAGCGGCTCAACAGGACGCTGACATCGTTCGTACAGCGCCAGTCCGTGGGAGAAGTCGATGACCTCATCCTCTGTACCATGGATCACTAGGACAGGTGAGGTTACCTTTGAAATCTTGTCAATGCTTTGGAGACAGAAAACCGAGAAGTAGATGTTAGATGCACACAATAAGACAAATACTGCAGCAATTCATATGACGTTTGTCATGATACATTTAATAAATTCTGCTGACCACTAGAGGGAGTAATTGAGATGATTTCAGGGCTTTTGATATAATTATACACTGTATAAGAAACTGGAAGAATTGAGGATGAAGACATTGGACTGATTAGAAAAAGTAAAAAGGAATAAACAGAATATTTGTGATTTTACTTGGAAAATGGACATTGTGCATCATCAAAACACTGACCTGAATCCTTTCATAAATAATTTAAATAAAAGTCTAAGTAATCAAAATGAGGAAAACCTGACTTCCATCAAACTTCCAGTGACCCGCTGGTCCATCAAACAAAATAAGCAATAATGATGTGTGAACTTTTATACATGCCTCTTAAAACAAACTAATAAATGTCCTCCCTACCCAGGAGGATGTTCAAAAGCCACCCCCGTCACGCACACAGGATATTTGCTTTCAGTAAATGTTATCTGTAGTCAGTGTTTCTTACTTTGGAAAGGCGTCAAAGCAGTAGGTCTTTTTAGTGTCAGGAAAGGCCACTCTCATTCCAGACATAAGAGGGGAGTGGAGAATGACGGCGGCGCTCTCGTAGCGAGACGCCAGGTCCACAGATGGCACTGTTCCGATGCTCTGACCGTACACAATCACGTTCTCAGGCCTGATGCCGTACCTGGGAAGAAGAGACAGAAGATACTTAATGGTCAGACTCCAGACATTATGGTCATGGTACATCCAACGATGCAAGCACAGAATATATTAATAAAAATTATGTTGCCTTTGAGAATGATGAACATCCACTCCGGAGTTTGGTGGTTCTTTAGTTTGGGGCAAACAACATATATACAGTGGTAAAAAAAAGTTTGGGCACCCCTGATCGTTTTCAAGATTTTCCTTTATGGATCATTGGTTGTTCAGAACAGCAATTTCAATTAAATATATCATACAGCAAACAGAGACTACAGATTTTCAATGATATTCAGGTCTGGGGACTGAGATGGCCATTCCAGAACGTTGTACTTGTTCCTCTGCATGAATGCTTTGGTAGAATTTGAGCGGTGTTTAGGGTCGTTGTCTTGTTGAAGTATCCAGCCCCGGCGCAACTTCAACTTTGTCACTGATTCTTGAACATTGTTAGCAAGAGTTTGCTGATACTGACTGGAATCCA